TCTCTCTCCCTCTCTCTCTCTCTCTCTCTCTCTCTCTCTCTCTCTCTCCTTCTCATTCAGTGTCTTCATTCATTCGTGCTTCTTCACTCGATTGATGATGGTGACAACCAGCTACAGAGTGCACAGAGTACAGTTAACGGCTTCTGCAGCACTCGGTTAGTGTGTCGTTGAGTGTGGCGCCAGAGTGGTGAAGAAAGAAAAAGAAGAAAAGAAAGAAGAGAAAGAAGAAGCATTCAGTGGCTTCTTTTCACTCTCACTTTCGTTGGCACTGACGGTGACGGCGGTTGGCTCAACCGTTAGCTGGCGGTAGTACTACCAGTAATTCGGTGGCGCCAGAAGCAGCAGCAGCAGCAGCTCCAACAGAAGTCTCTGCAAAATCAGCAGAAAACGAAGACAACCGTACTTCTTCTTCTTCTTATGCTGTACAGCTACTTCAGCACTTTACTGTCGGCAAACAGCCTCACAGTGATTCTGCTCAGCCTTCGTCTTCGTTGAAGGGAAGAAAGAGAGCAAAACGATGACAGTGAAGTAGAAAAGTAGAGCAAGCAGTTTTCTTTTCCCTCACAACTTTCATTCTCTAAGAAGAAGGCCTTCATTATTCAACTGCATCAGCTTCAGACGCATTTTGAGCATATCGAATGGGGTAAGTAGATCCACTTACTACTGCTTTTTGCATTCACTGTCAAAAAAACAAACAATCCCTTTTTCTCACATTTCACACCTTTCTCGTTTCAGCGGCAAAAGCAACAACCAAAACAGCAGCAGCAGCAGCAGCACTGAATTCTCGCTGGTGACCATCACCGCCGTCGTCCACCACTACAACGCCGACACTCAGAAGTGGATCGTCGTGGGCCCCGCCCGCGTCGGCATCTACCACGACACCGAGGCGAACTCCTTTCGCATCGTAGCGAGGCGAATCGGAGAAGAAAGTCATGAGGTAATTAATCATATATCTCAATTATGATTAATTATAAACCACCTCCCTCAGGTGGTGGCCAACTGCCCGGTGGGCGAGACCTTCTCCTACAACGAGTCGACGCCCTCATTTCACCAGTGGAGGGACCAGGTGGTGGGACCAGCTGTTTCTGTTTCCGGTCCTAGTCCGGGTCCTAGTAGCCGAGTGCTGGGCGTCAAGTTCGGCAGCACCGAGGAGGGCGCCCTCTTCGCCGACACCATCCGCCGCATTCTGGCCACCTTTGAGAGCGTCCACCGGATGATGCTCGAATCGGGGGCGGCGGCGGCCCTGGAAGATGGTGGTCATCACCCTCACCTTTATCACCCGCAGAACTATCATCACAACCATCAGTACAGCCAGCAGCAGCTTCCGCCTCAGAATCCACCGCCCCCAGTGCCCGGAAGTAGTAGTAGCGGCGGCGGCAGCCAGAGCAGNGCTCGAATCGGGGGCGGCAGCAGCGGCGGTCGTGGAAGATGGTGGCCATCATCCTCACCTTTATCACCCGCAGAATTATCATCACAACCATCAGTACAGCCACCAACATCAGCAGCAGCAGCAGCAGCTTCCGCCTCAGAATCCGCCGCCCCCAGTGCCCGGAAGTAGTAGTAGCGGCGGCGGCAGCCAGAGCAGCTCCTCCAGTCTCTACGGCGGAAGTGGCGATCAGCCGCCACATTTTGCCGCTGCTGCTGTTCTTCAGCGAGGAAAGCCCGTTCCACCGCCACCACCTCCTCCCTCCTTGAATGGAGGATGCCAGAAAAATGGAGGAGGTAAAAAAGAAGTTTTTAGTGATGTTTGAAATATCGAAATCTTTTTTCTTTAGGTGCTCCAGTCAACGGTAGCGGCAGCGGCAGCAACAGCGGCAAACCAGCCATCCAGCCAAAACCTGGCTTTCTCAGCGAGATGGAAATTACGCTGGCAAGACGAAGGGCAAAGATTGAAGCAGCAGATGGAGGAGCTGGTGGCGGAAGTGAGGTGGAAATTAGCCTCAACGGAAGAGACCACCATCAGCCAGTACTGCCGATCCTCAGCCGGAAGAACTCCACTTCAGAGCAGTTGAGCACCTTTGCACCTTTGAACAAGCCAGTGTAAGTGCCAATTTGACCAAACTTTTACCAAACTCTCGCTGATCTGCCTTTTCGAACTTCATCAGAAACGGCCTCCACCCTTCCAACAGCTTTTCGAATCCCAGTTCGCCGAGCATTGAACAGCAGCAGCCAATAGGAGTCAATGGCAGTCCTCAGATGATGTCACCGCTGGCCATTGAGAAGCTGAAGCAGGAGATTCTGGGCGAGATTCGCCAGGAGTTTGCCGCCTTCAAGATGGACCTGCTCCAAGGTAATTGTTGGAATTGTTGATTATAACTTGTGCACTTCTTTGCTGACCATCATTTTTCCCCATATAGTGATCAAAGAGCAGATGAGCAGTCATTAGGTTTTAGAAATGAGTCTTCAACTTTTTTTCTTCTTCACCAAGTTTTTTCCTCCTCTTCATCAACTTCTTCTTCTCTTCTTGACTTGACACAAGTTGGCAAAAGTATTTGAACATCGCATAAGTTAACTCGTCATCATTTTTATCATCTTCACCTGTATTTCATCCCCATCATCATAATAAATGAGCAAAATAAAAAACTCTCGTCTTTAAAGTCTGAGCGGCTTCAAGCCGAGCTTGGCACGAAGGGCGTTCGCTTGGGCAATTTCGTCGTTTTCGACGTTGGCCGCTGCTGGTTTTTCTGCCTGCTTCTTAGAGGACTTCTCTTTGCGCTCCTCTCTGTTGCGACCTCGATCTCGGGTGTCAGGTGAACGGCTGCTGCGGCCTCCTCCTCTTCGACGATCATCTCGGTGGTCTCGGTGGTGACGGCTGCGGTCGCGGGAGGTTGATCGCCTGCTTCGATCTCGATCTCGGTCGTAGCGAGAAGATCTTCTATGTGGTGAAAGGCTGTCTCTGCTGTCTCGATGACGATGATAGTCTCGCCGGCGGTGGTCTCTGTCGTCGAGATCATCCCTATCACCTCCTCTTCCTTTTCCTCGACCTCTGTCGGCTGATCTCGAGCGACGTCGGGATCGGGAGTCCATGTCGCTGCCGCTTGAGCTGCTCCTCTCTCCGTCTTCCCTTTCCACCTCCTTCTTCTTCTCTTCATTCTCTTCGTCGTCCTTTTCTTCACCACCCTCCAGTTCGAGATCTTCGTCAATCAGGCTGACCCGCTTCTCCAGCTCGCCGTTTTCGACGTGCAGAAAGCGCTTCGTCAGTCGCGGGAGGATGACGTCAAAAACGCGGTCTTCGCGCAGCAGCATGTCCACAAATTCGTCCATGTAAATGAGATCAAAGGCTGAAGTGATGAATGATCAATGTTAGTAGGTGCAAAATTAACAATTCCACATGTTCCACTTACTGCCCATCTTGGACATTCGCCGCAGCTTTCGGTAGTCATTGTACAGCGGCTCCAGGTACTTGTACACGTCCAGCGAGTTGCTCGTCAGGCGAAGGTAAAAGGCGCCCAGGGCGCGTATGTACCTAAAGGGAAAGTTGACAGTTTGAATAAGCAAAAACTAACCATTTTAAACTTGAAAAATGCAGGCACTCACTTAAAGTTCTCCTGCCTAATGAACTCGATGATAATGTCCTTCTCCGGCTGCAGCTGCAGCAGCTTCAGCGTCAGACAGAGGAAGGGCGTCGGCTTGATGTTGCCGCTGTAGATGCCGCCGATGTAGCGCAGATCAGCGCCCTTGTCGACCACCAGGTCGGCTGGAAAAGAAGAGAGATAATTGGCATTGAAAGATGATCAACAAATAAATCAAATTAAATCAACAAACCTGAAAGGGCAAAGCAGTCCTCCTTCCAGTAGCGGCTCTCGTAGATGCGGGTGCGGATGATCTTCTCGACGAGGTACTGCGGATTGGTGCCGTGCACCGTCACCGCCTCCTTCACCGTCTTGTTGGCCATCAAGTGAAGGTGGTTGTTGTTGAAGTACCAGAAAGAAGTCCAACAAAACAAAAAAATTGACAAGAGTTTGAAAAGCGTGTTTTTTATTTTGATTTTTTCCCACTAAAATCACACCAGCGCAAGCCGTTGCTATCGAAATAGACACACGTGCGAGTTTTAGCTTGTATTTTCTCCGCTAGAAGGCGAAAGCTGTAAAGCGATTTTTTCTTGATTTTTCATTTTTTGCAAAATCCAACATTCCTTCAAAATTCTGTAGATCTAATTTTCTCCTCCTCATCATTGTTAACCATAACTCTTAGTTTATCTTCTTCAGCGGTAATCATAGCCAGATGGTGATCATACTTTGGCAAAACCAGCGCCTGAATACAGCGGGCAGCAAAGCAGTCGCCGATGATGTTTGTTGGCGTCCGAATGCGCTCCATAATCCATTCAAAGGCCATCACATAGGCGAGCACATCGGTGGCGTTGTCGATGCCCAGCACGGCGGCAAAGGTGATGTGATTGACGATGACGGAGCCACCTGAGGGGGCGGCTGGCAGGCCCATGGACATGACCACGGCGAAGAGACTGCCAGAACAGAAGAAGAAGAAGAAGAAGAATATTTAAGCAATTGTTCACCCTATTGCATCACCCCAAAACAACAAACCCCAGCATGACCAGAGTGAAAGGGTCCACGTGAACGCCCTTCATCTGCGCCACAAAGAGCGCCACCATCGGGTAGTACATTGCCGTGCCATTCATGTGCAGTGTCATGCCTGAAGAAAGGAAAAATCGAACCATCATAATAATTGAACTGCTCAATTTGAAATGCAAATTATCATCATACCTAAGGGCAACACCGAGCTGGCAATACCCTTCGCCAGGCGGCCCTCTCTCGTTTGCATGCACTGCATGGTAAAGGGCAGAGAAATGGCACTGGAACAGGAGCCCACTGCCACCAGAATTGCCGGCAGAATGGTTCGATAGAGGCGGAAGGCGCTGCATCGGGTGAAGAGGTAGAAGACCAGCGGGTAGAAGAGAAGAAGAACGATGGCGAAGGCGAGCAGGAGGATGCCGTAGAAAAGGACCAGCTGGACGGCCACCTCGCCGATTGACTTCATCTTCAGCGCCTCGGTGAACATCCAGCAGAACATGCCCGCCGGCATTAGCCTATGTGAAATGATTGGAAAAAAATGATGAAAAGATGAAAATTGAATTTAGAAACTTCAGCAGCAGCAGCTGTCAAACGTCAAAACTCTTTTTCCCCATTTTACCTCAACAGAAAGTCCATGCTGCTGTTGACGATGGTCAGCGTCTCGGTGAGCAGCTGCCGAACGGCGGCCGTTTTCACCGGGCCCAAGTGCTGCAGGAGCATTCCCAGCGCCAGTGAGAGTGAGCAAATGCCGAGGAAGTTCGCCTTGAAGGAGGGCGTCGACCTGGAGATCAACTTTGGAATGTTGGGACTTTCTTTTTCATCCGAAGTAGGCGTTGGCCAGACGACCTCTGTGTGCGTGAAGCCGGTCATGAAGAGGATGGAGACGACGTTGTCGGGGACGATGTTCCTAGAAAAAGGTAATTGAGCAAAAGTTCTAAATCCTTCTTTTCTGTGTTTTCTAAACTTTTTATTACAGTATGACATTGTAGACCATGTCCGTCCGCTCGGTGTTCTTCTCCACCTGACTTCTTAACCTTTCGACTTCAGTTGGAACTATCAACCTGCTTTTTGGTGAATTCTCTACTGCAGCTTTAAAGTCAGCTCCAGGCTGGAAGAAGGCCATCAGCGAGAGGCCCACAAAGACGGTAATTGAGGAGAAGGCGATGAAGAAGATGAAGGTCCACATCAGAAGCCGCTTTGGGTCGATGGCCTCATCATCGTGGACATCATTTTCCACCGTCTTTACAGCGCTTCGATTAGAGAAGAAGCCTGGTTAGGAAACAAAACTTGGTAAGTGATCCAAAGCTTTTCTTTGTAAAAACTTACTCGTCGAAAGCGAGGCAATGAGCAGCGGAATGATGAGAATGAGAAAGGCGCGAATGAAGAGAATACTCGGCAGGCTGAGGTAGCGCAGCAGATTTGGGTCCACCTCCTGGTCGGGGCCCCAGAAGATGGCCTTCACGGCGAGGCCCACCAACAGGCCGGCCACCACGCCGATGATGGCCTTCAGGGAGGTCTGATTCTCTGACCAAAAGGCGGCCAGCTTGGCTCTAAAAGTGACTGTCATTTTTGGTGAATGATTTTTGGTGATTTGTTCTTGTTGACAATCTGCAAGAGCAGCCAAGTGTTGATATGCTGGCATTATGTGTAGCTGTACTGTCTTTTGTCAGTCGGCAAACAATATCGCTCCCTTTTGAAATACTAACCTCGAATCTTATCAGCATCTTGTGATACTTGTGATACTTTTCTTTTCACCGAGTGCAATAGAGGGGCTTGCACTTGATTGGCAAATTTTGAGCAATTTTCTTTTCACTTTTCATTTTACATTTTGATTGAAGATCGGAAGTGCCACCACTGCTGTTGCTGCTGCTGCTGCTACCACTCAAATTGATTTTCTCCTTCTCCTTCTTCTTTGACAAGCTAATGAGGATGTCATTTAGCGCCGATGCAAAACGATTGACGCTGATTTCACTTGGCACTTGGTGCTCTCTCTTTCTCCCTCGCACTACCAGCGCACTACCGTACAGTAATGTACGGTGACATCTTTTCTGCTGTCTCCCTCTCTCTCTCTCTCTCTCTCTCTCTCTCTCTCTCTCTCTC